GAGGGTGTTAGGGTCGAGAGTGTTAGGGCGAGGGTGTAAGGGTCGAGGGTCGATCGAGTCGCGTTAGGCCGAATCGGTTCTATTATCCCTTATCAAATATGGTCGTTTTGCAGTATATATTCAGTTATTCATTCTTGAGGTAGTTATACGCTCATTTATTTTCCTTGTGTCATTATTATTATTATTATTATTATTATTATTATTATTATTATTATTATTATTATTATTATTATTATTATTATTATTATTATTATTATTTCTTTTTTTTTCTTTTTTTCTTTTTAATCTTATAGTACCTATTAATTTTAGGACACAGAAATATTTATCTTCCTAATCTATATATCGGTGTTTGAATATGAATAAAAATGAAATGTTTTCAAAATCTGATGCAAAGACGTGACATGTATATTTTATAAGACTACATGAAATTAACGAAATAAATAAATATATGGCAAGTGAACGACAAATATCAGGGAACAAAAAACCAGTATTTTCCACACAGGAAGGAAGAGAATTTTGCAGCATGATATAGGATTAGAAAAATTCTGGATATTGTGTAAAAAAAATATGCGGTGCATCGGCGCCTGAAGACTCAATGGTGTTTGAAGATGGGATGATAAAAAAAGATAAGGCCCTTATCTTCGAAACTTGGATCCAATTTGGCTTCACAATTCTCACCTTTATCTTATATTATGTGAGACTAGTACTAGTATTTTTTTATTGTAAAGTTAATACTTTTTTTTTTACCCCTATTTACTATTTTAAACAAAAACAAAAAAAAAAAAGAGAGAGAATATGAGAAGGAAGAAAACTGAAAAGTACTTCACCAAAGTGTGGAAAACAAAGTTTTGTGTACGATACATAATATAAGGAAATGCTACGGTCCCGTTACGTAATCATTTCGTCGGGATTTGTAACCATTAGATCAACTATCCCTGACAGCTACATGATTATCTAAAGGTTATAAATCCTGACGGAATGATTCCGTAACGGGACCGTAGCATTTTTTCATAATATCGGAAAGTAATAAGAAACCCTTCACATATTATTTTTTTATATTTACTCCATAACTTGTTACAATTGGAATATTATCCAGTGAAAATAAGTTTTCCAAGTAATTTCATGACGGCTAACTAGATAATTTTTTTTATTTTATCAATTATTAAATGAAATAGAAATAACTAGCCAATTAGAAGTAGAAATATAAAAATAAAACACAAAAAAGCTATACTAACCATTGATTCTTCTTTTCCAAACTCCAGTTAAGGAGATGCAAGTGCAACCATGCAGTAAATTTGAGATACAGTTTTCTTCTGCATAAGAATAACAGTGCTTCATACTGTGCAGCATCAAATTTTGACAATAAGTTAGGACAAATGGAAAACAAGGACTAAAAGCTGCTAGCTAGCTAGAGGTTGTGAATCTTGAACAGTTCGACTTTTTTAACATTGTAGGTAGGTATCGAGCAATGTTCCAAATTGTGAACATGGTCTTGACATTGTGTCGACATTCTTGTACGCATGACACAAGGCTGCCAAACGGGCCATGCTAATAACATTCTATTTTTAATTATTTTTAAAATTATTTTATACTATTATAACGTAAATTCCAAAAGTTAATTAAAAACATAATTATATTTTCTCCAAAAAGAAAATAATGCACAGGAAAAACAGCCAAAATGAGATTTTCTAAGTGGCAGATTTATTAAAAAAAAAAAGAAAAAAAAAATCAAAAGAGTTAACTATGAATAGTCGACAAGTTTTGAAAACTAGAGAACCCATTTGAAAATTGACTTTGTTTGGGCCCAATATTTTGAGAAATTTACCCCTCTTACGGTTACTTTGCTAAAGAATATTAATAATATGAATTAAGTATCTTTTAATCATAAATACGAAATATTTCTTTCATTAAATAAAATTTTAATTAAGATGGTAGTTATCTACTTCCATAATTATCTGTTTTCTCTCTCACCCTCTTTTATTACGTGTTCTCTCTCTTTCTCTCACTATCATCTCTTACTTCTTCAGTCTAGTTCTTTCTCTGTCTCTCTTTCTCTCTCACACACCTTCATTCTTTTCTTCTTTTTTCGTTCTTTCGATCTTTGATTTCTTCTCTACAATTTCTCATAGCACACAATTTCACAAATTTTAGAAATCGCCTTTCAATTTCGGGTCCTTTGAGATCCACTTCGACGGGGCTATGAGCGGCAGTGCAACGCACGAGGCCCGGACTGACGAAGGCTCTTGAAGATGATGCTTGCCTGACCTGAGTGCGTGGTTGCCCGACCCAACGGCGGTGTGAAAGCAGACGATTGGCAAAAACTCGAAATTATTTGCAGTCATTTGTTTTCTCACCTATTGAACCATATGAGAGGGGTACGAATGAAAACATTCATGGAGGAAGGCAAAGGAAGCGAACCTTCAAGCCACGAGCCAAGTCAAATCTCGATTGTTTAGAATCTCAATTTTTTTAATCTCATTTTTTTTAATGTTAAGGTGTATTATGTTTTTATTCCATTTCAGAATTGTTTATATATTGTTTATCTTATGTATAATTATACAATTAATATTAGAGAACTGTCAGATCATGTTTATCTGATGTATATATACAATATATTTGAACACATATTTTGTGGTCATTAGATAGTATATGTACAGTATATCTGATTTTTTTTTTATCGAAGGAGATATCACAGAGAACAATTTTATCTGAATTTTTTGCTTTCCAATCCTTGATATCAAAGGAGATTTTGCAGTCATTTAGAATTGTGTATTATGTTTTAGCCCGTTTCAGTGTTGTTTATATGTTGTTTATCTTACGTATAACTATACAGTTAATTTACATGTTTTTTTTACATGTTGTTTATCTTACGTATATATACAGTATATATAAACATATTTTCACGATCAATTTCACTAACTCATATTTTCACGGGCGGGCATGATTATTATTTTGGTGAGAGAAACAGATTTCTTGGAGAGAGAAGCAATGGATTTTGGAGAGAGAAACGAATTTATAGCTATCATTAATAGCATGATTTTTATTAATGGCGTGATTTTTATTCTGGTGAGAGAAAATAGACTTATTGGAAAGAGAAGCAACTGGAGAGAGAAACATATTTGGAGAGAGAATCAATCATTTTTCATGCGTGAATTTCGGTCACGATTAATATATGGAGAGAGAGAGAGAGAGAGAGAGAGAGAGAGAGAGAAAGATGGTGAGAGAAATCAGAGTCTCGTACAAATAAAATTAAAATCACTTCTTCATCCTTTTTTGATTAATAATTTGCAGGATTGTATATATGTAAATATTCATAGACGGTGTGTTATGTATGTAATTTTCCCCAATATTTTTAGACCAGCTGCACATTCCTGGGCCCATTTTGGTTTCAATAGGCAATGTCGTGACATTATACTATATGCAATGTCGACATTTTATCACCACATTTTTGCTTTGAAATAGGTGTGTATATATATATACATATATGGGTACTATCAAATGAATTACACATGTATAACTACAATACTAGAAATTTCAACGAGTACCGATATATATTTCCAGTACACACGGGCATCTCTAAATTGATCTGTCAGATTAGTGTTGCCGCAGCTTTTGAACCTGCAGCATAAAGATACGGCAATGAACGAATTTCGATGAACTATACTTACATTAACCGCAGCTTTTCTTCGTACAATGTCACGGAATTCTTCAATACAACATACAGGATAAGGCTCTCTGAATAACTATTTGCTTTAGCACATCAAATGGGACATCCACTTTGCTAGTATTCCAACAAGGTATGAACAAGATCAGTTGGTTCAAGCTACATTCTCAAACATAGAATGTCTGTTCTTGTATAAAAAAATGTTCCCCACGAAATTAATGTTCGGTTGATGATAAACTTTAATATGCGGGGATGTTGGATAAGTTGGAGCAGGGCTCTCATTTTGGTGCCAGCTTTATTGGACAGACAGCAAAAGCGCAACATCGAGCTGCCTTTGCCAACGTAAAGCGTTCATTCTCGATCAACAGCCTCTCAATGACTTTCACAATATTTGCATCCTATTACATAGCAGGTTCGTTTTAGTGCCATCAGCATTACTATTAATTAGAGAAGTTAAAAAAAAAAAGTATCTGATATCAAGGTAAAATATTATTTGTACAAGTCTCACAACCTTACTTTTGCAATTTGTTGGATTGGAATGTTAAGAAATTAGCTGCCTAATGACTAAATTAATAGTCTGTAATTTATGGTTTTGGAGATTTAGTCAATTGAAATTCTTCAATAGTTCAATAGTGGTTTTAAATTGTGTTACCTTCTTTTGCGGCTGGACAGAAGGTCTCACGCTTGCAGTATCACCAATTTCAATCACATTGTTAATATTTCCTCGGTCGTCCCTTTCAGTCGGTGAAGCTGTTGAATGCCTCCAGTTTCCATTAGTTATGTATTTGTAATAGTACCTGCAACAATTAAATTTACACTTCTGGATTACAATATATTACTTGGGTCAGTAAAATTAGTGTTCATCATCCAGTAGGCCATGTTTTATCACAATATGAATTTTTTACACAATTGTTAGTGAAAAAATGGCAGGCTTCAATATGGCAGTAGATGTATTTTGTCCTGTTCTAGAGTTCAATAAAGGGATCATGCAAGCCTTTAGAATAAAAACTGGGCATGCAAATAGTTATCTCTTATACCCACTAACAAATTTCAAAATCTCTATATTAGGATTTTGAATAATAAAATTTGGGTACTACTTACTTCCCCTGAGGAAGTCTAACTTCAACTTCGTATCTTGGACCACCCTTATGGACGGCCTTGATCGGCTCTTTCCAGTTCCCAGTAAAATCCCCCACCAAGTATACATCTTCCCCCTGAGATCCCAACACATTTTTAAGATGGGAAGAAAAGGAATGAACTCGACTTATAATCCAGTTATGTGTGTGACTCCACATTCATTACATTGATTTGATTATGATAATTCTCACCTCGAGTCCGTTCCACACGAAGGTCACAACATGTGTAGGAGGCCCATCATGTCTGCCTCTTTCGACCATGGCCATGAGATCCCAAGTTGCCCAGGCAATTGCTGGCCTGCATTTTAAAATCTTCTATTCAATATAGTCGCCTTTTCAGACAAACCAAAAATAACAATATATAAATCAATATAGCCAAGCTCATAAACTCTTACTGCTATATTTAACATCTACTTAGTATTAAGCACCCACCAACATTTTACACACACACACACCAAAACACACACACAAGAAAAGGAATTACACACAAAAATTTCATGAATTGAGATATATTACCTATCAGGCTTGCAGGAATGCAACCCAGTAACAAAATTGTAAGCTGCATGAAGAGAAGTATCTGTCATCCAGTGGAGGTATGCAATCACACAAGCAGGAGACCGTTCAAATCCAGTAGTGCAAGTGACATAAACACGATGATTCTTCTTAAGTAAACGTAGTAGAAGACCAACACAGAATGGCAGCTTCTTCCTCATGTCAAAAGAATCTGCATTCCTGAAACGGATTAACATGAAAGAGAAAAAATGCAATCACAGTGGGCACAAGAAGACTTTTCCAGTAACCAGCCGTACCTTGAGTAAGAATGGAGAGTAGACTTAACAAACAGTCAAACAGATATTCATTGGGTTACTTGCTTAATGTCACAAGTAAATAAGATGTGTTTTCGAAATTTATATTTAAATAGCAAGCAGGCACCAAAAACCCCGACCATTACCTTATTGGATAGTTAATCATAAGAATATTAAACTTTTGGCATGACTCATTGATTGAATTTGAATCAATTCCCCAGTTTGCAGCTTCAGTTGCGCTCTGAAAATTCAGGACAGCAGAAACTCCCTGGTAGGTATGGTAGACAGTTTCTTAGGAGCAAATAAACATGGATTAATTAAAGGAACTTTAAAGTGATAATGCTCTAGAGCAAATTCTCTAGTTGGATACCATGTTCGCGGTGAAAGATAAAATGAAGGCACAACTATCTTACCGCAGCTGTAGACAAATTCTCTACATCGCCTTCAGTTTGAATACATGAACCAACATAGATCTGTTCCGTGATCTATATCATAATAAAATAAAAGCATCATCCGAATGAAGCTCGAATTTACAGGATCATGCTCAATATATTTAAACATGAAAAGAATGTTTCTTAGTGTAATGACATATGAGATACAGTTTAACTCTCTCCTTATTTCCACTTCAACTTTCTTTATATTGTTGATCCTAACAACCTCTGAGAAACAAGAGAGCAGAAAATTACTGGATTCCAGGACACAGTAGCTCAAATTTAAGCACGATATGCAATTTATCTCAAAACCACACCTTACTATAGCGCATACCAAGAGAATGATTATAATGGAAATCCCCCTCTGCACGTTCCAAGGCCATAGCGTACTCATCCAAAGGGAAGTTCCCATGGGCCCATTCAGCATCTTGAGACATTTGTTCAGTGAAAATAGCTACTAGAGGACTGAATGGTGGGGTAGGGGTGTTATTAACCATTTGCAGCTTGCCATTCTTGTTTTGATTGCTTAAATATTTCCACCCTTGGGTAGATAAAAACTTTGGACAAAAAACCACAAACCCAGAATTACCACTACTCTTCAGATTTGATGCCAATATATTTTTGTTCCAAGTAACAACTGGAACACGGCCTCGATTGAACAAAACATCAAGATCATCAACACGAAAAAGTTGATGGATAGGAAACGGTGAGAAAGGTCTCTCAAGAACAAGGCTAAATGATCCCGATTTCTCGTTTCTAAGACTCCTGCATATAATTGTGACAAACAGAATGAATATGCATTTAGTTGAACTACCATCAAAACAAGAAATACTTCCACTGCAGTAGAAATCTCGACATACGACAAAAGTGTCATTTACATGTCTAACATCTCATATTTGCAATATGTTTTTCAGTTATAGTCAAAATCATACTCTGTATCTCCAAAGTCTCTGATCTCGATAAGCTTCCCACCAGATGATTCGCTCGCCTTTTTTAATGTATCCCCCACCATAACTATTCTCGACTTCTCAGCATTACCCTGTACCATCATTTTCTCAAATTTGTTAAAACAAGACACCACCACCGCTTGGCGAGCAAATCAAACGATATAACCGATATAACAATATCACAATCCTTCTCCGCATATGAAAGTAGGCACTGTACTCATCATCCTCTTAATTCCTATAACCAACTTAAATACAGTAGGTGCAATTAAACTGAAGTTTTTCACCATCAGCCTATGAATTATTCAACCAAACATCGCAATGATATCATGAGCAATTCAATTCCTATATCAATTTAAAATTCAGTTGATGCAACTAAACCAAGCATTTCAGCATCATGCCACTCAAGTTACTCGAACTCACAGCATCATAAAATCGGTCACACACTATCAACAACAACAACGGCAACAAGATTCCATACCCCTTTCCGAAGCGCATGCACGAAAACTCGTCCGTCAAGCGAGAGGGCGAAACGGATGCCCAGCGGTCTATCGAGCGTCACCATGTACTCGTTCAGATTCATCTTCAACTCGCCCGAAGACATCGCAAAAACCCTAGAATTCCTCCCGCTCGGCCGCAGCCGCCTCTTCCTTTGCAGCTCATCGCACAAACCCAAACCTCCGCCGCTAAACGACGAATCGAACGCGACATTGCTCTTCCGAGCCTTCTTCTCGACCGGGGAAAATCCAACTGCGAACTTCGACTGGTGCACGCCTCTGCAATTCGGCAACTGCAGAGAACACATTTGGAGGCTGCTGAAAAAACTATCAAACTTGCAAAAAACTGACGCCAATCGAGTGATTCAAACAATGAAAAAAAAAAATGTTAGCTGCTCCAATTTCCTGAGCAGTAATGCATCGAACTGAAGTGCCCAATTGATGTTGGAGCTTTTTTTTTTTCTTGGGAAAGAAAAAGG